TCTCTGTAGTTATCTGAGAATTTATTTCTGATCTGATTTTTTTTCTAGAGCCTCATTCATCTGCTTTGTTGCTTCTGTGGTTTCCACTTCAGATCAGTGGCTTTTGAACTAGTTTACCTCACTGTCCCCTGAATTTTCCTTTGGTGAGCTGTAAGTCAGGAGTTGTACCTTGTTTAAGTGTCTTGTCATTTTCTATTTTTTTAAGTTTAATTCCTGGGGTGGTGCTTAATAACTGCTAATGGCAGGTAGATTTATTGCTAGTATTTAGAACCATTAGAAAATAATTACTTTTCAGAGATATGTTCCAGTGTAGCTGGCTTTTCGGTTTTGAGCCTCTTGCAAGATCCTACCTCTCAGGGCTGAGGATGTAGTTCAGCAGAATAGTGCTTGCCTGGCAAGTGCAAGGCCTTGAGTTTTATTTTCTGCACTCCTTAAAAAAAAGATACAACTCCTCCAATTTATTGAGGATGAGAAGTTGCTACCTATGTGGCCCAGCCTGTGGTTCTACAGCCCTGTCCTGTAATACTGTTTATGAGCCTGAGGCAGTCTCAGTCTTGGTACACCAGGAGGAACAACTGGTTACAACTGTGTCACCTTGGCTAACGTAGGACAATTAGCAATAATAAGAGCATCAAATGACAAACTTTGGTAACTATCAATTTGCCATTTTTAACCCTATGAACTAGGTTCATGGTTATATAATGAAATCTAAAATGAGCCAGAAAATTACATGCAGTGAATCAGCCCTCGATATGGTGATTTTATAGTTCTGGAAACTTTAGCCAGAGCAATTAGACAAGAGAAAGAAATAAAAAGAATAATGATAGGAAAGGAAGAAGTTAAATTATTATTTGCAGATGACATGATACTCTACATAGAAGACCCCAAAAATTCCACTAAAAGACAGCTAGATTGAATAAGCAAATTCAAGCTGGGAATGGTGGCACACTTCTGTAATCCCAGCCCTTGAGAGGCCTAGGCAGTAGAATTGTTGCAAGTTTGGGACCACCTGGGCTACAAAGTGAGTTCAAGGCCAACCTGAACTGTGTAGCAAGACCCTATCTCAACAAGACAAAATAAAGCAATTCAGCAGTGTTGCTGGATACAAAGTCAATACTCAAAACTCAATAGCCATGCCAGGGACAGAGCTCAGTGGCATAAGCGCCTGCTTGGCAAGTGCAAGGTCCTGGAACCAGGAGAGACCTAGAATGGCAAAGGCAATCCTGGGCAACAAAGGCAAGACAGGGGTGTCATAATCCCTGACTTGAAATTATACTATAAAGCTACTGTGAGGAAAAAAAAAACAGCATGGTAGGGCCAGGGATATAGCTCAGTGGCACAGCACTGCCTGACAAGCATGTGGTCCTAAGGCCAATTCCCAGAACAACAACAAAAAAAAGACAAAAACAAAACACAGCATAGTACTAGGCAAAAAAAAAAAAAAAAAAAAAACAGATCCCAGGATCAATAGAACAGATCAAAAGATACAAAACAACTACGACACTCTCAGCCACCTTAATTTTGACAAAGGTGCCAAACACATCCACTGGAAGAAGGACAGCCTCTTTAACAAGTGGTGCTGGAGAAACTGGCTCTGCACATGCCAAAGATTAAAAACTGGACCCAAATCTTTCACCATGTACTAAGCTAAAATCAGAATGGATCAAAGATCTTAAAATTAAAAGAGAAACATTAAATCTGCTGGAAGAGAGAGCAGGTAAAACTCTTGGGAGACATTGGGGATGGCACAGACTTTATGAACAAAACTGCGATTGCACAGGAGCTATCACAAAGGATCAACACCTGGGATCTCACTCTATTGAACATCTTTTGCACAGCAAGAGAAACTACCAACAGAGTGAAGGGACGACCCACAGTGTGGGAGAAAATGCTTGCCATCTGTTCCTCAGACAAAGGATTACTATCTAGAATAAAGAACTTTAAAAATCAGACCCTCCAAATTTAAAGACACAATCAAAATTGAGCATCTGAAATGAATATAAACAGCAAATAAATATAAGAAAACATTTTCAACATCACTGGTCATTTGAGAGATGCAAATTAGAACAACACTGAGATTCCATCTCAGTCCTGAAAGAACTGTATAATCAAGAAATCAACCAATACCAATCAACTGAGGAATGGATAAAAAAGATGTGATATTTCTATACAATGGAGAACTACTCAGCTATAAAGAATGACCAGATTGAGACATTTATAAATAAATGGATGCAGCTTGAGACCATACTCATAAGTGAAATAAATGAAACTCACAAATGTAACCACCATATTGTCTTCTTAGTGTAAGAAACTGAAAGAGTAAATAAGATATAAAATCTTCAATAATATTGTGAAATGATAGGAAACTGCTCAAAGAGGAAAAAATAACTCAGGGAACAAGAGCAAAGGAGGAAGAGATGTAAAATATATAAATTCATATATATATACAGTTAATATTACTGAGATGATTGTACTACTAATTCTATTAGTTCTTGGAACAAAACAGATAACATCCATAGAATTAGACCAATTTTGCATGACTATTTGGTAATTCAAATAAGACTTATGAAGACAGCTATGCAAAACAACAAAAATTGTTATGTTCTTACCACCTTGCTTTAAAAGCCTTCATTCTTACTGTTTGAGCTCTTAGTTATAGTTATTTATTTGTTGTTTTGTTTTTTCCTCTAATACAGAGAGGATAGATGTACATATATAGGCTTACACATGCCTAGAACTTCTCCTAAAGTGTTTACAAGAGAATTGATTTTTAGTATATGTGATAGTATGAACAACTACACAGAAGAAAATGAGACACTATGGTAGCCATTGATGATTTCCTATCATTTTGATACAAAAGCCAATAATGCTTTTATTCTTGGTGCTGATTGGTTTTAGTCTGTTTTCAATTATTTGATTCTAATACTATGAGGATACGGACAGCTATTTTGAAGAAAACAAGAGACATTGTGGTAGCCATTATTGATTTCCTAGTGTCTGGTCCTGAAAGCCCTTAAGGCACTCATTCTTGTTTTGATTGCTTTTGTACTATCTTGATTTGTATTAACTTACTGTTTATGAAGGTATAGACAACTATTTCAAAGAAAACATTTTGAAATGACATTATGGTAGGCACTGTTGATTTTCTGCTGTCTTTTCCTGAAATCCTGTGTTATTTGCATTGTTTTACTCTGCTCTGCTTTGTTTTGTTTTGTTTTGTTTTATTCTCTTTAAAAAGCAACTTCTCTTTAAGAAAAAAAAAGAAATCAACCAATAACAAATGCCAGCAGGGCTGTGGGGAAAAAGGAACCATTCTCCACTGCTAGTGGGAATGCAGACTGGTGCAGCCACTGTAGAAATCAGTGTGGAGATTTCTCATGAACCTAGAAAGCTAGAGGTCCCATTTGACCTGGCTGTCCCCTTCTTGGTATCTTCCTAAAAGAATTAAAAAGATCATAACAGCAATATATGCACACCTATGTTTGTAGCAGCAGTTTACAATGGCCAAATCTTGGAACCAGTCCAAATGCCCATGAACCAATGAATGGATAAAGATGTGTGGGTTTTGTACAATGGAGTACTACTCTGCTGTAAAGAAAGATAAACTTGAGACATTTCTAGCTGAATGGATGCACCTTGAGACCATATTTTTAGTGAAATAAATCGGACACACATGTTCAAATATTGCCTGGTTTCTATTGTGTGAAAAACTGAAAGTGTAAATAAGGACCAAGATGTACAACATATGCTGAGAAATAAAATAAAATGTTCAAATGGGAAGGGGAATAAGGGAAGGGTAAGGGGTAAAGGAAGGAAGGGACAAGGGAAAATGAAAACAAAACTCCCATAAATAAGGAAGGGAAGAGAAGTTAAGAGAGAGAGGAAGGGATTGGGGAAAAAAAAGAATCAAAACATATCATGTACAGGTACAGATTCCTTATGAGAATGGCACTGATGTGTATATCTAAAACATGCCACTAAAAACAAAGCAAAGCAAAGAACCCCAAAGGCACGCAACCCTCATGCTGATATCCCGCTGCCCCTCTGTCTCTGTGGGAAAAGCTGCCGTGATGAACAGCAATGGAGCCAGTCTTCCAGCCCCCTCTGCTCCCCTTGACCCTGGCTCATGACCCAATTGGTGACTTCTAAGTGGCCTAGTAAGTTTTACTTAACAGTAGCAGGCAGTCCAAGGGTTCAGGATGACAGGTGTGCGCCACCACGCCCAGGCCAAGAATGACACATCATTTAGGTTTTCTTCCCCTGACTCTTCCAGTTGAACCACCCCTTCTCTCTGGCCACTTCCACCCAATCTTTTCTCCCCTACACGCCCTTTGCACATTCTAGTCTTCAGTCATCTGCATGCCACAAGCCCAGCCCCCTCCTGTATCCTAGCTGCAGCACGGCCAGCAAAACCTGCGGGCTCTTGTCAGCAACCCCTCCTCTTCACCCCCACTCCCCCCCACCCCCCCACCCCTGCCACAGCAAGCCCCTCTGCGCATGCACCCGAGAGTAGCCAACCAGCTGCTCATTAGATGTTGTGCGGCTTGCAGCTGGAACATGGTCTCTTTGTAGGACTGAGGAACAACACCCAGCCTCACACTGCCGGCCAGGCACTCTACTTCTGAAACTCCATCTGTGGTCCCACGTCTAGTTTTTTGATTCGTTTTGGGACAGGGTCACATTATGCAGTTCAGGCTGGCCTTGAACGCTTATATAGCCCAGGCTGGCCTTGAACTCACAGCGATCCTCCTACCTCACCCATATCTTGTGTTCGTGTGTGTGTGTGTGTGTGTGTGTGTGTGTATGTGTATGTGTGTGTGTGAGAGAGAGAGAGACAGACAGACAGACAGACAGACAGACAGACAGAGACAGGGTCTTGTTACATAGTTCAGGTGGCATTCAAACTCACTATGGAGCCCTGGCTGGCATCGAACTTGCAGCTATCATCCTGCCTCAGCCTCCTGAGTGCTGGGATTATAGGCATGCACCATCACTCCTAGTGCCCATACCTATTTTTTTATTTTTATTTTAAAGGTAGTAAAATGCAACAAAACAAAACAGACCAAATCCAATCAAAACAAGGCAGCAAAATTGGTACAGAACTTCAAAGCAGGATACCAGGAAAACAACAATAGCTACTACAGTGTATCTCATTATCTTCACAGTACTTGTCCATTCCCATCAGGTAGAACAAAATCAAACCAAAACCAGAACACTATAAAACCAATCAAAACAGAATATTTAATAGTACAAAACAATCAGTGACCGGCGCAGCTCCCCAATGAAACAGGAGACAGGAGATGCTCTTGTGGACGACAGTTAACTGCTGGTTTATTTACGCGGGCTCTGGTTTATATATTTGGCCGTGACCAATCACAGGCTGCCACAAGGAAGCAGGGCGGGAATGAGACGTAGGCTCCGGCTACCATATCCAGCTGTGGCCAATCAGGAGTTGCCACAGAGTACGGAGTGAGCACGAAGTGCGCACGGGTTGGCTAATTTAAAGAGGGACATAGGGCATTGCGGAAGCTGGCGTGGTCCTTAGTCCCAGGTGGGGTATGGTATGTTGAGCGTCTGCGCCCAACATCTCCCCCTTTCTTTATAACTGACGCAGGGTCTCCAGAGGTCGGCGCCCCTCGTGAGGTGTCACGCTGCAGTCATGACAATGCCTCACTACTCGTTGGTGCTCTTTTGGAGGGGGCGGGAGTATTGTTTTATGAGCCCAACCCACATGCTCACCGACATGGGGACCGGGGTGTCTCCTGGCCAAGGACGACACCCCCTGCGATGCTTTGCTCCACACCTGCGTCACAGCATGGCGAGCCATGCTGCCAGGCTTTGACCAGATTCCATGATCAGCAATGCTTGTTTGATACTTTGTCCCTATTCCTTTGTCTGCGAATCCGACAGAGCAGAAGTAGACTGCCGAATGCGGCAAGTGTAGTCATGGTAGCCAGAGCCCCTGTTCCTGCCCATTCCTTTATGAAAGCCAATTGGAGAGTTGGCCCGAGCTGGATCACAGGAAACTCGTCTGAGTCTGCCATAACTGGAACCGGTGCGAACTGGAGTACCTGCATAACAGCTGAAAGTGTACTGTTATCCCAACATTATAACACATAACAGGTTGCGGTGGAGCAATTTAGAAAAGTCATTGGCTGCAAGGACCGTACGAGATGCAAGAAGGAGGGGAAAAGGAGGCTACTAACCAGGGGAGTTGGCCAAGGTGCCATGGTTAATGGGAGTTGTGGGTGTACTTGCTTGGTCTGGCTTGTGAGGCTCCTGTTGGTTCCCCTGTTCTGTGGTTGACGTTTCCTCTGGGTCGGGGTCTGGTGGTTTGCAGGGACATATCAGGCATTCCGGGACCCAGACAGGTTCGCTGCCTTTTTCCTGCGGGAAGATACAGACCGCCCCTCTCGCCCAACTAAGTACTGGGCTGGGGCCTCTCCACACCCCATGCAGGAGGTCTTTCCAGCGTACCCAACCATGTTTGGGTGCGACAGGGTTGGCATGTAGCTGTGCTGGCGTGGATCCTTGTGGGTTGATGTTTACAAAATTGTAAGTAAAGAGGGCAAGATTTAGTCTGGCCCTAGGTGTCATGCCCTGGGCAATACCCTCCTTTTGTTTAAACAGAATAGACTTGAGGGTTTGATATGGCCTAACTTTAATTGCTCTTGAATAAGTTTGGATGCGGCTTCTGCTTTGTCTCGTGGTAGGGGCCACTGATTTATCCAAATGGGGTCATTAGAGACCCATGTCAATTTGAGAGGGGCAGAAGCCGAGTCAGTGACCCCCACTAAAAACCCAAACCTTGCCTCTGAGCACGTGGTTGTGCCTGGATGGGGAAAGGCTTTCCTTGCAGGTCTTTGCCTAATCCTTTGCCTGGTTCATACCCTTGATTTTTAAGAATTCTCCTGGCTGTGTGAGAATATTCATTGCACAAGGTCAAGTCTAGGGCAGAGAGCACTTCTCTCCCCCATAGGGTAACTGGAAGCTGGAGAACATAGGGTATGAATTCTCCTGAGTGTCCCTCATTGTCTTCCCATTTAATTATCTGACTACTAATTTTAGGTGCATGAACTGATCCCAAGCCTTGCAGTGTTTGTTGTGCCGTCTGGGTAGGCCAGGTTAGTGGCCAGTCCTTTTCAGCTATAATAGAGCAGTCTGCTCCTGTGTCTAGCAGTCCGGATATTTTTCGCCCATTGAGTGACAACGTTAGCATGGGGCGCTCATCCAATCTAAGAACGAGGGCGGCAAAGGCTGGGTCTGATGATCCAAATCCTCTGTCTCCTCTAATACCAGACAATGATGGATAATCCCCATGACGGCTGGATAACACTAGCATCTGAGCGATGCGGTCTCCTGCCCCTACAGCTACTGGGCCTTTAGGAGCCTGCATCATCACCTTTATTTTTCCTGTGTAATCAGAATCTATAACACCCGGTAAGACCTGTATTCCTTTCATGGAGAGGGATGATCGACCAATTATCAACCCTACTGTGCCTTCCGGTAAGGGGCCGGACATATCTGTCTCTATGGCCTGTATCCCCATTTTCGGGGTTAATACGAGTCCAGTGGTGGCACAGAGGTCAAGTCCCCCTGAACCCGGAGAGGCTCTCCTCGGTTCTGACCTGCCCATGTTGGCATCATTGGCAGTGTCTGGTCTACCATATACTCTCTGGCTGGGTAGAATCGGGGGCCCACCCCCGGGGGGGCCCCCCAATCCCGTTTTTTGGCCTCTCTGGGTTACGGCCCTTACCTGTGAGGGGCAACCCATTTACATCAAAGGTGGAGCGGCACTCCGCGGCGGAGTGATTTCCCTTCTTACATCTGGGGCACTTTCGGTCTTCAGGAGGGGGGGTTGTTCTCTTCCGAGTCCCCAAGATGGACAGTCTCTTTTTATGTGTCCCTGTCTGCCACATTTGAAGCAGCCTTCTTTCGGGCGGGCGCCATTCTGTGGCGCCGCTCTGCCTCCCTGACCTTCTTTAGTTAGCTTCATTAACATGGCTGCCAAACCTGAGTTGGTTAATGGCCCCCTGATCTCCCGACAGAGTTTCATCCATTCCTCAAGAGGCCTATTTTTGTATGGACTAATGGCAGAGCGACATTCTTTAGTACATTGCTCAAAAATGAGCTGCTTAATGAGCGGCATGGCTGTCTCAGCGTCCCCAAAAATTCTCCCTGCCGCCTCCATCATGCGGGCCACAAAATCTGAAAAAGGCTCGCTCGGGCCCTGCAAAATTTTTGTCAAGTGGCCTGAGACTTCTCCCCTAGCCGAGACCCGTTTCCATGCTTGTATGGCTATTCTATTTATCTGTGCATACACCTCTTGTGGAAATATCAGCTGGTTATTGAGATACTGCCCTTGTCCTAATAACATATCCGCGTTCCAGGCGGCCTGATTGTTCTGGGCATTAGCTTGGGCCTGTTCTGTGGCAAGTTCAACATTCCAAGCTTTCCAATCAAGATATTGGCCTGGGCTGAGCACTGCCTTGCACAAACTGGCCCAATCAGCAGGTGTCATGGCGTTTCCTGCCAGGGCTTCTACTAGGGACAGGGTATACGCCCCATTAACACCGTACATGGTGCTGGCCTCCTTAAGATGCTTTATCGCCTTCATATCTATAGGCAGGTGGGCTTTATTTCCCTGAGCATCTACAGCAACCGGAAAAGCCTGGAGAAAATGGCCCAGGCCTCCTGGGTCCTCTCTTTTGACTTGATGCCAAAGGTCTTCCTGGAATGTCCCAGGGGACGTCTGGACCCGTTGCGGACAGCTATATAGCTGATGGCAGGGTCTCCGGTGGGCATGATAATCTGGCGGGTCGGGAGGTAGAGCCATAGGTCTTATACGGGGTGGCCCTGGGATCCCGTACTCGCTTTCATTGACCCATTTACTCTGAGAAATCCTGCGTTGCCGCTCATTTATGGCCTCAGAGTAGGGCCCTCTCGACTGCATGTGTGTGACTTCCCCTCTTTCGGTGGTGTCTGCATCCACCATTTTGTATACTTCTTCTTCCTCCCCCTCATTATCTGACGAGTCCTTTGTTTCTGGGTTGGGTGGGGTCACCTCGCCTGCGGCACTGGGCTCACGAGATTGCTCCCGGGAGGACTCTGCCTGATGGTAACCAAGCGCCATGGCGCCAGCCCTTATATGGTCACGACAAGAGGTGTCTGCAAGGCAGCTTCTCACCACTGCCCAAAGGGGTCTGACTTCTGGCTCCAAGAGGCCATTTTCTGCTGCAAAGTCAAGATCTCTCCCTAATTTATCCCAGCTGGGGATGGTAACGGACCCCGTGGGACCAAACCAAGGTGCTACCTTATCGACCTGATCGAGGAAGTTTTGAATTTGTTCTCGTTTCATTTGTAATCCCTTTTCTCTCAGTAAGTCGCTTAAGGCGACTGACAGTGGCTGAGTAGCCGTGTTACCCATGTTAACCGGAATTTCAAGAGTTTCTTTTTATTTTATATTTTTCTTTTTCTTTTTCTTTTTTTTTTTATACAGGGACAGCTTAGTCCCCGCGCCCCTTTACGGCGCCCCCAAAACCGGCCTCTTTACGGCCCCCGGAACTCTCTTTATGAGTTCCTGACCCTTGCGACGCGTCCGCCCAAGGTTGCCTGATAGCCCCCGCTATCCGGCCCTGTTGCGTAGCACCCGCTACCAACGTTGAGCAGTTTAACCTGTCAGCCCCCGCCCGCCAAGTAGCCCCTGCTATTGGCGCTTGACGGTTTTACCTGTTAACGTCTCTGTTCCGTCGGAGAGAGAGGTTCGTTCCCCGTACTGTCGGAGAGAGGGTCTCAGCGTTCCGGGCTCCCTGTACGGGCCACCAGTGGACCGGCGCAGCTCCCCAATGAAACAGGAGACAGAAGACGCTCTTGTGGATGACAGTTAACTGCTGGTTTATTTACGCGGGCTCTGGTTTATATATTTGGCCGTGACCAATCACAGGCTGCCACAAGGAAGCAGGGCGGGAATGGGATGCAGGCTCTGGCTACAATATCCAGCTGTGGCCAATCAGGAGTTGCCACAGAGTACGGAGTGAGTGCGGGGTGTGCACGGGTTGGCTAATTTAAAGAGGAACGTAATGCATTGCGGAAGCTGGTGTGGTCCTTAGTCCCGGCTGGGGTATGGTATGTTGAGCGCCTGCGCCCAACAAATCAGAACAAAGCATAACAGTGAAAACAGTATTTGACTTCAAAAACAAGCTAGAAGAAAATCCCCCATACTTGCTATATTGCATACGGTCATCCTCCCAAGAGATGCTCAGACCACTACTCCTAGGCCTGCAAAATCAACCAGACAATACAAGCATTTAGTTGCTTTATGTACCTTAGTTGCTATCAAATTAGTCTGTGTTCTGGCCAATGAGTTGCTTATGCGAGGGGGCAGAGGGAGACGGTTTGATTCTCAGCCTGCACAAGGGTAGGCTCAGGGGAGGCTTACCAGAAAGGCTGGCTAGTTGATTTCTTGGTTGGTCCTCCAAGCCCCAGCATTGCTGTTTCTGCTACCTATTTTTAAATAAATGATTTAAAATAAAATTCATGCTCAGTGTTGGGCACCTGCCTACCATATGTAAGGCCCTGAATTTGATTACCAGCAGCACAAAAAAGTCAAATGAAAAATAAAAAATAAACCTGGCACGGTAGCACATGATGGTAATTCCAGCATTTGAGAGGCTGAGGCAGGAGGAGGCAAGTCTGAGGCCAGCATGGGATACCTAGGCCAGCCTGGATACAGAGCAAGGCACTGTTTGGAAAAACAAATAAAAAACATTTGCATATAAACAAATTTATTAAAGCTGTCATGAAGCTGGGTGTGGTGGCACAACCCTGTCATCCCAGCCCTCATAAGGCTGAAGCAGGAGGATCACAGCAATTTCAATTCCAACCTGGACTACAGAGTGAGTTCAAGACCAACCTGTACTACATAACAAGACTATCTCAGAAAAACAAATGAAAACTGACATGATTCTTTATTTGAAAATGCAGATACTACGGGTTTCTATTTTATTTACATGTTCACGACAATGTCTTGAGCACCCCCTGGAGGCAATTATCTGTGACTGTGGGGGCCGCTGGCCCTGCACTAGTCATAAATTACTATTTATCTTTTTACATATTTATTCTGGAGGTGCTGAGAATTGACCTAAGAGGTTCAAGCAAGGTCAACAAGTACTTTATCAGTGAGATGCACTTCTATCCCCAAGAGGTCCCTTTTTATTATGTTACATTTGAGACAGGGTTAAGTAGCCCAGGTTAGCCTCAAACTCAGGCAGTCCTCCTGCCTCAGCCTCCTGAGTGCTGGGATTACAGGTGTGTGCTGTTTTGCCTGACAAGATCTTTATTTTTGGTTGTTTTGTTTTGTGATGATCCTCATGCCTCAGCCTCACAAGTGGTTAGATGACAGGCATGAACCACCATGCCTGGCTACTTTTGGTTTTTGAGACAGGGTCTCAGTATACATAATGTAGACTGGCCTTGAACGCACTATGTAGCTCTCACTGGTCTCAAGGTCGCAGCAATCCTTCTGCTTCAGCCTCCCTAGTACTAGGATTACAGGTCTGTGCCACCACGTATAGCCTTTATTTACTGTATTTATTTTTACTTTGTGCTTTGGGGCAGGGTCTTGCTCAGTTACCAGGCTGGCTTCGATCTTGTAAGTGCTGGGAGAACGGGTGTGCGCCGACACACCCAACAAGGCTCATTTTAGAGTAGCGCGGGCTGATTCCAGTTGCCCAGCAACCTTTGGCTACACGTCCCCTTTAACTGTCCTTTCCACCTCTCCCACCGTTTTTTCTCATCCTTTTGCCGTCTTTTCCATTCCCCTCCTGCCCTGCTCCTTCCAGTGTAGTCCTTTTCTGCAAAGCCCCCGACCGCGCTGGAAGGCAGTGACCACAGCTGGCTGAAGCCAACCACAGTGCCTAGTGCCAAGCAGCCAGTGCAGCGAAGGAAGCGGTGAGCCGCGCGATGTCACGCTCCCAGTCGCGCTTCAAGCGTCACTTCCGGCCGCGACCCTCGCTGGCGCCCGGAGGTGAGAGGATCACGGCGGGAGGGCGGGGTCCTGGTGCGGGCGGAGCCGGGCCGGGCCGGGGCGGGGCCGAGGCGGGGCCTCCTCGGGCAGAGCTCGCCGGCGTCCGCCTGCCTGGCGGACGCCGGCAAGAAGTTGGTGGCCGCGGTAGCTAGAAAGAGCCTTTGGCCGGGAAGGGGCAGCGGGAGGCCCACCCCGCTCGCTCGACAGTCCTCCACCCTGGGCACCGTGGCTCGGCCCGGCCACACCCGGCCGGGAGGGAGTGCCGCTTATGCTCCAGCGGGGGCCCTGGGGTGTCACGAGAGCCCTCCTGCCTCCTGGGCCGCCGGGCGGGTCGTGGGCCCATCCTCTGTCCTCCCACTTCGCGCTCGAGCCCCGGTTGTGTCCCACTTGACAACTGCTGGACTCCCGGACTCGCAGGGCCGCTCACCCTAACCCCTGAACACCTGTGCGGCCCCTCTGGTTGGCACTGCCTGCTGCCTTGGGCTGCATCCGCTCAAACTCTTCCAGCTGCGCACAGAGATGGGTGGCATCGGAGCCTAAGTCCTGACCAGCGACTCCAGGCGACTGCCCCACTACAAGGACCAGGCATCGGTACGCAGCCCCCAGCTTCCTTCTGGACCACTCCTCAGCATAGCTGTGCCTGCCTCTTCCCCCTGCATTTGACTTCTCCCACTCACCCTGCCGGTCCTGCCTCAGTCTTCTGCCAGGAGACACAGGCTGGACCAGGCCTCCAGGGTAAGTCACCTGAACCCCAGGCCAGCAGGGGCCTTGAGGGGAGGGGCGTCCGGGCAACAGCCTTTTGCTGACCCTGTCCTCAGTCTCAGATGTTGGTGGTCGGCAGGGCCAAAGACTGAGCAGGACCTTAGGGCCTCAGGGACACTACAGACAAGAAGCAGCACAGAGGTGAAAATGCAGCATCCAGGTCCCGGTCACTCCAGTTCCAGAAGCTGATGTGACAACAGGGTGTAATCGAGATGCTCCACCCTCTGGAAACCCCCAAGCCCCCTTGGGAGTTTGACGTGTTGGGAGGGCACACACAGATGGAGTGCTCAGATAGGTCAAGCAGCTCCAGGGGCTCAGATTCTGGGGCTGCCAGGGAAGGGTCCCTGACTCTTTTTGTCCTAGTTCTGGCAACTTGCTCAAGGAGAGTGGACCTACTCCCTCCCGGGACCCTGTCTCATCACCACAAGGCAGGCCAGTGTCCCCACCTGTGGCTATCTACTGCCACACAGCTTCCTCAGTTCTTGTAACCTCAGTTCTTGACCTGGCTATCAGCACACCCTGTGTCCTCGGCAGACAGTCCCCCTCATTCCCCCTGGAACCCCAGGAGAGATTTTACCCCAACAGTGGCATTGATGCAGCCCTGCTGTACCTCATTTTTTTTTTTTTGGTTTTGTTTTGTTTCAGTACTGAACATTGAACCTAGACCCTACACACCCAACTACATACCCAGCCCCTTGGTTTATATTTTTGTTTTGAGACAAGGTCTTGCTAAATTGCATAGGCTGTTTGAATTTGCAATCCTCCTGCCTCAGCCTCCCAAGTTCTGGAATTATAAATGTGTACCCCACACCCAGCTGTACCTGCATCTTGTAGCCAGTGGGTAATGAGTTGGTGGTGACAGGACTAAAGGTAGCTCCCTGAGTCCCTTGTATGAGAACATCCCCAAAAGGGCCCTATGGTGGACAACCCCAGGAAAATAAGAAGCTAGAGCAGCTATGAGCAGGATGAATGGGAACATGGAACTATAGGTCCCCTCTCCCAACAGGGCTGGGGGGATTGAGACAGCCATCCCAGGGGACGGGACAGCTGAGTGGCAGCTAGGGCCAGCACAAGGCATTGCTTTTCCACGTCTGAGCTTGGGGCAAGGGTCTTGCTCAGTCCCCCAGTGGTGGGCTTGCAGATACCCCGGCTTCTGGGATCACAGGCACTCAGCTTCACCAGCTGCCCTTCTGTGTCTCTTCCCCCCCTCAGGGAGAGTGCTGCCCCCGAGCAGGCAGCCCAGAACCAGCGCAGCCCATGGACCCTTCTCAGGAGGACCCCACAGCATCTACAGGGGCACTGTCCTGAGCAGTAGAGGGCTGGATGCCACACTCTCAGGCGAGAGCTATGGTGTGGGGCCGAGGCAGGGGTTACTTGGGCCTGGAGGGAGGGTGCTCGGGTGCCGTGAGTGTGCTGGGAGCCATCCTGTTGCTCCTGTGCCTGCCATGGGGGTCACAGGGCACAACTGGTGCGACCCTCGGCACTGCTCTGGGCCACACAGTGCCCCTGGCAGGAGGGCGCTACTTGAGCATTGGGGATGGTTCTGTGGTGGAGTTTGAGTTCCCTGAGGAGAGTGAGGGCATCATTGTGATCTCGAGCCAGTACCCAGGCCAGGCCAATGGGACCCGGCCTGGTCCTACCCTGAAGGTCACGTCCCTGGACACGGAAGTGCTGACTATCAAGAACGTGAGTGCCATCACATGGGGTGGTGGGGGCGGCTTTGTAGTGAGCATCCACTCAGGCCTGGCCGGGCTGGCGCCACTCCGCATCCAGCTGGTGGATGCACGTGAAGCCCCACCTATGCTGATAGAGGAGCGGGCCGATTTCTGCATCAAGGTCTCCCCCGAGGAGGACACCACCACACTCACCACTGACCTGGCCCACTTCTCGGAGAACCCGATCCTCTACCTGCTCTTGCCGCTCATCTTCATCAACAAGTGTTCATTTGGGTGCAAAGTGGAACTTGAGGTCCTCAAGGGGCTCCTGCAGAGCCCTCAGCCCATGCTTCTAGGCCTCCTGGGTCAGTTTCTGGTCATGCCCTTCTATGCCTTCCTGATGGCCAAGCTCTTCATGCTGCCCAAGGCCCTGGCTCTGGGCCTCATCATCACCTGCTCATCACCTGGCGGCGGGGGCAGCTACCTCTTCAGCCTTCTTCTTGGAGGGGACGTCACGCTGGCCATCTCCATGACTTTCATCTCAACAGTGGCTGCCACTGGGTTCCTGCCACTGTCCTCAGCCATCTACAGCCGCCTGCTCAGCATCCACGAAACACTGCATGTGCCAGTCTCCAAGATCCTGGGCTCGCTGCTGTTCATCGCCATCCCCATAGTTGCAGGTGTGGTGATCAAAGCCAAGCTGCCCAAGCTCTCCCAGCTGCTGCTGCAGGTCATCAAGCCCTTCAGCTTCATATTGCTGCTAGGTGGCCTCTTCCTGGCCTACCACATGGGGGTCTTCATCCTGGCAGGAGTCAGGCTGCCCATCGTCCTGGTGGGCCTCACGGTGCCCCTGGTCGGCCTCTTGGTGGGCTACTGTCTGGCCACCTGCCTGAGGCTACCGGTGGCGCAGAGGCGGACAGTCAGCCTCGAGGTAGGGGTACAGAACAGCCTACTGGCCCTGGCCATGCTACAACTGTCTCTCCGCCGCCTCCAAGCTGACTACGCCTCCCAGGCCCCTTTCATTGTGGCACTGAGTGGTACCTCAGAGATGCTGGCCCTGGTCATCGGCCACTTCATCTATAGCAGCCTGTTTTCAGGCCCGTGAGGCCACCACCTTGCTCCCCGCCCACTGTCCCCAGGTTCTTGTGTACCAAAGGCCTTTAGTTCTCATGCACTATGCACTCAGACAAATCCAGGCTTATTTTTTTTACTGGTTTTTATTCTTCAGCTTTTAATGCCAAAGAGGCCATACTGAGTTAGGTTGGTGGGCAGTGCCCAGAAAATATATTTCAATAAAAGAAAGACACAAGCTTGGGGTCCCTTCTAGTCTCTGGCCCTGGGGCCTGTGTGGGCAGGAGGTACATGCCTGCTAAGGTACCCGCAGGGAGGGGGAGTGGCCTTGGGTGGCCAGGCTCTGTCCCTCTGTGGATCTCCACCCTGTTCTATGATGAGGATGGCAGACTGGTTCAAAGGAGGAGGCAGGAAGTCATCTGGCAATGGGCAAGGTTGGCGGGGCTGGGCCCTTTCTGTCTCTGAGATGACAGGGCTTGGCATCGACCCCAGCACACTGCAAGCCCAGGGCAAGCCAGCGTGGCCGCGGGCTAGGGTGACTTCCTGGTCTTTCTCCGGGACCCCAGCTCAGTCCCCATCCAGTCCCGGTACCCTTGGCCCGGACAGTCCCCGCGCGACTGCGAGGCGGGACCTCAGGGCTGCCACTGTCCCGGGCGGGGGGCGGGGCCGGGGCGGGTCGAGGCGTGGGCGCGCCCCTCTTGCAGCTTCCGGCGGCTGCGGGCGGTTCCGGCGCGCGCCCGGGGCGGCGGCGCGCGGCGGGAGGCCGTTGGGTGCGTGGTTGGCCCTGGTGGACGCCGCCGCGGTGGCCATGCAGCTGACGGTGAAGGCGCTCCAGGGCCGCGAGTGCAGCCTGCAGGTGGGGTCGCCGGGCCCAGACCCGGCGTTCAGCCCGGCCTGGCACCGGGAGGGGCCGGGGCTGGGGCCGGGGCCGGGGCCGGGGCCGGGGCCGGGGCCGGGACGTCCGGAGAGCTGCCCTTGGGAGCGGATGCGAGGCGGCAGCTCCCCGGGGCCGCGGGTCACCCCTGCTCCCTCCCTCGCCCGGCCAGGTGCCGGAGGACGAGCTGGTGACCACGGTGAAGCAGCTGGTCTCCGAGAAGCTGAGTGTCCCTGTGCGCCAGCAGCGTTTGCTGTTCAAGGGCAAGGCCCTAGCAGGTACCCCAAGAGGAGGAGCCCGGGAGCACCCCCAGAGGCCAGGGACCGCGTGTGCAGGATGTGCGGGCCTCCGAGCAGCAGCGTGACAGATCCGGGCTCTTAGACCATAGCCCAAGTCACCACCGCTGCCAGATGCACCGCCCTGGCTGCCCAAGGGAAGTGGTGAGGCTTCCAGGGCCACTCCTCCAGCTGTCGGGAAGGAACCCCACTCACCTTTTTTTTTTTTTTTGGCAGATGGAAAACGACTGTCAGACTACAGCATTGGGCCCAATTCCAAGCTCAACCTGGTGGTGAAACCGCTGGAGAAGGTGCTCCTGGAAGAAGGGGCCGCGCATATTGTGGCCGAGCCCCCACCCACACCTGTCTGGCAGTTGGTTGCCAAAGTCCTGGCCCGCCACTTCAGTGCCGCTGATGCCAGCAGGGTCCTGGAACAACTACAGAGGGTGAGGAGGTCGCCTTGACTACCCAGGGCTAGCCACTGCCAGCCCCTCCCCAGCACAGCCCACCTCCCCCAGGGCACCCTCCAATCCTCCTGGCCTTCTCTCCTCAGGATTATGACAGGTCCTTGAGCCGCCTGACGCTGGATGACATTGAACGCTTGGCCAGCCGCTTCCTGCACCCAGAAGGGACTGAGGCTCTAGAGAAGGGGTTCTCCAAATAGCATCCCTGGATGTCGGGGAGGAGCTCAAGGCCAGACCACGGCTGCATGTTGCATTAAATGTGTTCTCACGTTGCAGTTTGGCTCCTGATAGTAACAGCCGGGGCGCACCCAGCGCTTGCTAGGTGCTAGGCTCCTCTTGCGGCCCTTCGCCAGGGTGTTCTCTCCCACTCTCAGCAGAGGTGAGACTCGCAGACACATGGCAGAGGGGCCCAGCAGCAACTCAGAGAAGCGCCTGGTGCAGGGGACTGCGGGCAGGGAGGGGGGCTTTCGGGGTACTGCGTCAATACCTTATGTGACCCTCCCAGGCCCGACAGAGGAGCAGGTGGCCCCTGCTGCCACGGTATGCTCTCCTGACCTCTGCCGTGTCTGGCAGAGCCCTCAGCAAACCTCTACAGGTGCCAGGTGCCGGCCGCCCATGCCCCTGGCCGCTGCAGCTCATGGAGCATGCGCCTGACGGAGGGGCAGCGATCTAGGGGCCAGGGAGTCAGGAAGTCCCACACTCCTGTGGCACAACTTGGAGCAAGTTGCTGTGCCATTTTGGTCACCAACCATCAAATCTGCAGTGAGAACCACTTCTCCACCTGAATACTTTTCTTTCCTCCTTCCCCAGCCCAGGGTGGGAACTCTGCGGGGACCTTCGACCTTGTGTTCAGTGACAAACCGAAGCCAAAAGTGAAGCCATAGCCAAGCATGGGCTAGACAGGGAGTATCCTGACCCTCAGGGACACCGCCTTTCTCTGGGCCCCTTGCTTGGCTTCTCCTGCTGGAAGCCAGTGGTGGTTCTCACCCCTCTGGCAGGCAGGTGACTCAGCGAGACAGAGTGGTGCCCAGCACGTCCCCCGCCCTGTGTCCCCTGTGCACCCCCCTCACTGCTTCCAAGGGTGCTGAGAGCGGGTGAGGGTGTGGGTTGGCAGGCACCAGGATGCCCCCATGAATGCCAGCCCCTTGGTAGAGGCTGCACCTACCTGGGCCTTGGTAAGGTGTCACTGGGTCTCCATGTGGGTGACACCACACAGCAGGGAGCCATTGAGATTGCATAGCTCGTGATGCTGTTGTTTCTTTGCAGTCAGGGAATGTGTTCTGAGAAGAACACTAAAGGTGTGTGTGTGTGTGTACGGGCAACTGAGCCACAAAGAACTCTGTTAGCAAGGCTGCTTTGGAGTGCCAGTAACTGGTTTAAAAGTAAAGGAAACTTCTGGTGAGCCACAGCGGATGAACAATTTGATTAGATTCCCAGCTTCCTCCACTCTGTCTACTTTCTCTGCTTCCTGCTTCATCCCAGGCCACCGCCTCCAAGGAGCGCTTGTTTCTGTGGTGTAGCTTTGTCTCCAATACTCCAGCAAATAAATGCTATTGTTTCACTGCTCGTGCTGCCTTGTGTGTGATCACTCCTGTGGCCAGGAGTAGGGGACCAGGCCAGGGGCTGCTGCTTTGTGCATACACCCACCACAGGAGACCCAAGTGTCCTAAGAACAAGGGCCCCTGGGGAAGGGGAAGCTAGGAGTGCTTCCAGGACCATGGAGTCAGCAGGCTCCCATGAGGAGGGGCTCCTGTACTGCATGGCCTCGAGGACACTTAGCTGGGTTCAGTGATACAAACTGTAATCCTGGGATTCGTGAGGATGAGGCGGGAAAATGACAAGTTCCAGGCCAGCCTGGACTACAGGGCTCTGAAGAAAAAGACTTCCATCTGCGACAGGGAAGCACTGCCCTGTTTAAAGTAGAAACAAACCCTAGACATGGTTCTTGTTCTTCTTCCGGTACTGGGGACTGAACTTGGGGTCTTCACACTGAACTATATCCCCAGTCCATTCATTCATTTTTGAGATGGACCTGCACAGGCTGGACTGGAACCTGTGATCCTCCTATCTCAGCCTCACAGTGTTGGTATTCCAAGCATGGGCCACCATGCCCAGTGTGGCTATGGCTTTTGAGGCCCACCCATCTCTGGGCCAGTGCACAGATGCAGCACTCACTGTGTCTAAATGGCACAACTGGTCATCCTGCCACAAGGCTGGGCCAGGGATTCTGTGGAGGCACTTCAGTGTGACACTCAGGACAAACCTGGGAGCCTGGCGGGGGGGGGGGGGGCAGGTGTGCTACAGAAGCCTGTGTGCTTCTGCTCCCTTGGAGGGATGTGGCTGAGAGAGACCCAGCTAGACCTGGGGACTGGGCATGGAAGGGCCTGGGGCACACACTGGGTACCTGCTGCTTAATGAGTGTCAAGTCACAGGTTCCTCTCTTTGTCCCCACTTCCCAAAGAGCCACACACAGGATCAATAGGGACCAGGATGGGAACTGGGCATGGTGCAGGACCTGAGACTGACCTGTGGGCTGTGCTGCTGTTCCCACAGCTGCCTGAGAAGTGGGGAGAGCAGAGAGGAGGTGGCTGCAGCACAGCCAAGAGAGGACTCTGCATCGACAGTGAGGCTAGCTGGGCATGTGGTGCTACCAGGGGAGGGAGCCACTAGATGGCAGGCTGGAGAGTGAGGGAAGAGGAAGAGATGGCACTGTGACCGGGGACCCTTGTTCCAGGCATAAATGTCCACCTGCAAGTGGCTCTAATCTGCCCATTGGCCCTGCCCTTCAAGACAGTCCCCCAGCCCTAGGGATGTGAGATGACCACACTAACACCAGGAGATGGCAGTGTGATGGCCAGGCCTGCTCAGGTGGGAAATGGTATTCAGAAACCAAGATCTGGCTGGGCTCGGCAGTGCACATCTGTCATTCCAGTACTTGGGAGACTGAGGCAGGAGGATCGCCACAAATTTGAGGCCAGCCTGGGCTACAAAGTAAGTTCATGGCCAACCTGCACTAAATAGCAAGTCCCTGTCTCAAACAACAACAAACAAAATCAAAATGAAAGCAAGGTCTGTATGCAGAATGTGTTTACAGCTGCTGGAGGTGACTGCCCCAGATCTTTCAATGGACAGAGCCTGGAAATACAAAGAGCTTACGAGATCACATGTTCAAAGTGAAACTTTCAGTACTAATTCAGCGTCATAGCTCATTTGCACCTTCATGCCACAGTGACAATTCCAGGTTCCAACACTGATATATTAACTCATCTGACCTACCAAATGGTCTCTCTTAGAGAACACTTTAAAACAGTGTCACACACATACCTCATCCTTGCTATTATCAAAAACAAATATGCTAAGAACAAAGACAGTTCTTGTTCTTAGAATATCTCCCACAAAGATAATATGCTAAGGAAGTGAATTTAAAAGGCATCAAATTAGCTTGGCAAGGTGGAACATATCTATAATCCCAGCACTCAGGAGGCTGAGGCAGGCGGATCATGAATTCAAGTCCAGCCTGGGGAAATTAGTAACATCCATCTCAAAAATAAGCATTTATTTATTTGACAGGGTCTCACTCTTTAATTTAGGCTAGCCTTGAACTCCCTATGTAGTCCAGGCTGGCCTTGAGCTCAGGCACTCCTCCTGCCTCAGCCTCCCAAATCCCACTGGGACTACAAGCATGTACCTCCACACCCAGCTCTCTAAAATAAATGTTTCTAAAAGGCTAGGAATGGGGCTAGAGATTTAGCTCAAACACAAATGCTTGCCTGGCAAGTGTAAGGTCATGAGTTTGATCCCTGGTACCAAAAAAAAAGGCTAAGTTAAATGTAGTTCAGTGACAGAGTTCTTACCTAGCATATACAAGCCCCTGGGTTTGATCGATCCCCAGTACCAGCCAAAAAAAAAAAAAAAAAAAAAAAAAAAAAAAAAAAGGAAGAAAGAAAGAAAGAAAAAAGAAAAGAAAAGAAAGAAAGAAAAAGTTAGGCATGATACATACTTATACTATAATCCCAGCTCTGAGAGAGGCTGAGGAAGGATAATTGCAAGTTTGAATCCTACAGGGGCAATTTACTGGCAGTAAGACCCTGTCTCAAAAAAAAAAAAAAAAAAAAAAAAACAGCTGGGCATAGTGGCGCATGCCTATAATCCCTATACTCAGGAGACTGAGGCAGGAGGATTGCTGTGAGTTGGAGGCCAGCCTAGGCTACATAATGAGATCCTGCCTCAAAAAAAAAACTTCCAAAAAATAAAATACAAAGAAGGGAGAAAGCAGCTCAGTGGTACAGCAGCTTGGGTTTAATCCCCAGTACTGAAAACGGGGAGGGTGGAGAGGGGGAGAGGGAGAGAGAGAGAGAGGGAGACAGATAATAAATTACATTACTTTCTCTGTGGTTTTGTGATAAAGGCTCACCTAATGCTGTTCTTATTCGATTACGGTATATTTTTTAACTCTATCAAATTTACCTTTGTACATGTTAAAAGTCAGAAATACATAAAAAAGCCCTATTCCAAGAAATCCTATAGCCAGCTCAACTCCATATGGAGACTTCTTTCTTGTTTTCAGTACTGGGGATTGAACTCAGGACCTTTACACTGAGTTACATCTCCAAACCTTTACCAAATTTTATTGGCCAGCTGTGGTGGCACGTGCCTCTTGTAATCCCAGTATGTGGCAGGCTAAGGTAAGAGAATTGCTCTGTGCTCAAGGCCCGTCTGAACTGCAAAGCAAAATCCTGGCTCCAAAAAAAATTTTTTTACTAAGTCACTAAAATGTCTGGGCTTGTCTCAATCCTGTGATTTTCCTGCCTCAGCCTCTCCATGTGCTGGTACTACAGGCATGCACCAGCCTGTCCTGCTTGGTAACCATTTGAACTGGTTTCTATTTCATCCTTTTTTCCCCCTGGTTAACATGTAGGCCTGTGGGTGTATGCACTTTACATTTTTTCTCCCACGTAAAAAACATTCTAGAAATCCCGCCTCCTCCCCGTGGTGCTGGGGGCTGAACCCAGGGTCTTTGCACTGAGTTACACCCTCAGGCCTTTTTATTTTGTACTTTCAGATAGGGTCTCGCTCTTGCCCAGGCGAGGTGATCCTCTGCTTCAGCTTCCCAGACTGCTGGGACTGCCACTCCCACCCAGTCTCTTTTGGTTCGTACTACATTGTTGCTTCTTGTTAATGATGCGCAGGGTTAACATGTAGCAGTTTATGTTTCCATTTCTTTAAGCTGGACTTATACACTGCATCCAATAGTTCCCAGGGCAATTGCCACATAAGCTTGGATTTCACTGTTTCATTTTGCAAGGCGGATCCTTTTACAGGCAGCTTTGCTGGTTCTGAGCCGGTGGGGACTTCTACCTACTTCAGTGCTGTTTCACCTGACTTGCCACACACACTACATGGTCCTGTGCACAGGGGACGAGTAGAAAAGAGGTGTCAGAAACAAGATCAACAACAAGGAGGTGAGCAGAGCAAGCACACCACCCCAGAGGGGCAGAAGCACCATGCAGCATGCCAAGAGGGGAGCAGAGCCCACCGAGTAGACAGGGTGGCAGCGGGGACAGGGGCCGACAGCTAGGTCACCTAGGAAAGTGCGTTTGGCCCCCAGTGCAAGGGGCAAACATGTCAGGGATTTTAATGGGATGTGTGTGGTCCATAAGTAACCTTCACTTGAGATCCCTTCTGAAAACCTGAGGAAAACACAAAAAGTACATTAAAAGCACCCCCAACCCCAACCCCCAGAGATCCTGGGTGTTTCTATGTTTCAGGACTGTTGCAGGGTTCCTGTGTGCGCCCTGGATGACATACTAAGCTGGTACTTTAGTGACTATGGTTTTGCACATTTTTTCCACACATTAGAGCCCCCTTCCCACTGCCTGCTATTGCTTGCCGTCCCTGTCACTCTCACTGCTCCGATAGCAAGTTCACCCCCACACAACCCCCTCTGAAGCGCTCCTTCTAAACTGAAAAGTAGATCTATTCGCGGTCCCTGAAAGTCCCAGGCTGGTCAGCGCGGGCACGGGGCAAGGCGGCGTCCTGAAAAGGACTTTGCACACGTCACCCTCCTTCCCTGCCGGCCGCACCGCCAGGCTCCCGCCCTGCGCAGTACACGCAGGCGCCGCTCAGCCTCTTGGGGTCGTGGAGGCGGGGCCTTGGACGGGTACACTCATTGGCCGGCGGGGTCCCCAGGGTCGCCTGGCAAGGCTAAGCGTGTGGAAGGAGAGGCCCTAGCCCAGGGCGGCAGGGTCTGCTCGCGGGCGCAGAGCACGCGCCCTGAGATCGCGTCGCATGTGGAGACAGCTTCTGCAGAAGCTCTGTCCCTCTGTGGTCGACCAGGCCAAAGGTCTCCGCAGAGCTGCCAAGGCGTGCAGCCGCGACAACCCCAGGGCCTGGCTGCGCATGCCCACGCGGGATGGGTTCGTGACTGGGGCGGGGCCTCGGGAGCCTAAAGAGTCCAATAGCTGGCGAGCGGGCCGCTCAGAAGGCGGAGCCACGACGGACATGCTGGCTGCAGGCGCTGGCATGGCGGTGTCTGCAGCCAGTGGCGCTGGCTACGCAGCTCCTGCTCTGACAAATCTGGGTTCGGGCCAAGACCCCGTGCCCGACACCAGCGGGCCCAACAGCACACCACATACATTGTATCCTATGCAAGGGGACGGCGGGAGGTCCAGGCAGGCTGCCCGGGGCAGGATGGGAGCGCGCGTGGTGGGGAGCTGGGAGCCAGTGCCTGGGGTGCTCTGGGAACTGTGGGCGCCCCTAGAAGGGTCAGGCTGGACCGGGAGGGGCGGGGGTGGCCTCGGAGGATCGCAAAGGCCCAGATGGCAGTGGAGGAGCCTTTACTGCAGCCACCAGCGCCCTCAGCGTGCCGTTCCCAACGCCTTTGGACGCAGAAATCGCCCTGGGCTCCCTGGCTCCAGATGCTGAACCGCAACCCGGAGTGATTGGGAAGGAGCTGACAGCCAGCGTCAGCACCCTGGCCATGTACGTGCGATGGACGTGCCCTGGCATGGCCGGAGCACAGCGTCGCAGACCTGTCATCCTGGCGACCTGGGAGGCTGAGGCTGGAGGATCTCGAGTTGGAGGCCAGCGTCAGCATCTCAGGCAGCCTCTCTCTAAAACAGAAAGGGAAAAGTGAAGGGCAGCGGGTGCAGCTTGGCGGTGGAGCACGTCCCTAGGTTGCCTGAGCCCTGAGGCGCCCCCACCCCCACCCCCGTGAGAGGAAAAAATCAGAAGGGGCTGGCAAGGGGGTGACTTGGCTGGGCCAGCACTAGCCAGGGTGCTGTGTAAGTGGGCTTCTGAGGTAGTCTCTTCTGGGGTGCCTTGTGCAGGGTATCCCAGGACTGGGAGGAGGGGAAAGGCGAGGGCTTCCCACTTCTGACATGGTCTTCTCTTCCCTCGCCTTCAGCCGCTGGACCGCCCAGGATGTGCGCCTTCTCCGGGTTTCTGTTCTCAGTTTCCTCGAGCAGCTGTCCCTGGTGGTGCAGACCATGCAGCGCTTCGGGCCCCCTGTGTCCCGCTAAGACTGATGTGGCCTAGGGCCACGTAGAAGCATCTTTCTGTCCCCTCCTGGGCAATGCGTCCACAAGCAATTGCATCTGGACTATGGGAGTTCCAGGGTTTACAGACTCATCCTTGAGTACCAAAGGTCTCCTCATTTTGATCGGTGCTTCAATGAGAATTCTGCAGAGAATAAAGTTGACCTACTGCTTTGTGTCTGGGTCTTTCTATTTCCCTGTCTTACTAGGTGCGGGTCCATTCATTAGTTTCCTTTTTCTTTTTTTTCCACAATGTTACCAAAGAACTTTAACTAAGGTCTGACTGTATTGACCTACCATTGCTTGTCTTTTAATTCCTCAGATAAATTTCCATTTTATGTTTCTCCTTTTTAATTCATTAAATTTATTGCTACATTTCATTTTTTCCAATCCATTTTATCTCAATGAGAAAAATATAAAAATAATAAAATTTGAAAACACATCAGGGGACAACAGCGGTACACATGTTTCGCATTGTCTTCCCCAAATCACTCACCCAGAGGACAAGGCATCTGCATTCAATTGTTAAAACAGTACCAGCTCAAGCCTTTCTCTTCAGTGAACTCAGAGAAATCAGTACTAAAACTCTTAGCTACTTTTGCATATCCATACATATACGGGTACATGTGTTGTTTCTTTCAGCTTCTCACACTAGTGAGATAATATGATGTCTATACATGAATGTCTGATTTATTTCACTTGTGAGAATGGTCTCAAGTTGCATCCATTTACCTATAAAAGTCTCCAGTTTATCACTGTTTACGGCTGAGCAGTACTCCATTGTATAAAAATACCACCTTGTTCATCCCTTCCTCAGTCAATGGGCCTTTAAGTTGTTTCCAAGATCTGGCTATTACAAACTGTGCTGCTACAAAGATGGGTGCACGCACGTATGTCGCTGTGGTATGATGTTTTTAATTTTGGGGGGAAGATACCCAGAAGGGGAACAACTGGATCGAATGGGCGCTCCAATCCTAGTTTCGGAGGAATCCCCGCACTGATCTCCACAGTGTTTGCACAGTCTGCACTCCCACCAACAGAGGCCCCTGCAGCGTTTCTTATTGCTTGATGTCTTAATGACGGGCACTCTTTCTGGGCTGAGGTCGAATCTCAGTGTTGCTTTAACGTGCAGCTCTCGAACGGCCGGGGATGTGGGGATGTTGAACATTTCTTCACGTACTTATTTGCTGCTTGCATTTCTTCATCTGAGAAGTGCGTACTCATCTCAGATGCCCATTCTTGGATTGGGTTTTTAAATCTGAGACAACTGATTTTTTTCTTGAGTTCTTTATATGGCCTGGATAGTAATCCTTTGTCTGAGGAACAGCTGGCAAGCATTTTCTCCCACACTGTGGGTCGTCCCTTCACTCTGTTGGTGGTTTCTCTTGCTGTGCAAAAGATGTTCAATAGAGTGAGATCCCAGGTGTTGATCCTTTGTGATAGCTCCTGTGCAATCGCAGTTTTGTTCATAAAGTCTGTGCCATCCCCAATGTCTCCCAAGAGTTTTACCTGCTCTCTCTTCCAGCAGATTTAATGTTTCTCTTTTAATTTTAAGATCTTTGATCCATTCTGATTTTAGCTTAGTACATGGTGAAAGATTTGGGTCCAGTTTTTAATCTTTGGCATGTGCAGAGCCAGTTTCTCCAGCACCACTTGTTAAAGAGGCTGTCCTTCTTCCAGTGAATGCGTTTGGCACCTTTGTCAAAGATAAGTTGGCTTAGTTGTTTCTGTATCATCTAATCTGTCCATTGATCTTCAGGTCTGTTTTTTTTTTTTTGTATGTTTGTTTGTTTGTTTGTTGCCAGTACCACGCTATTTTCCTCACAGTAGCTTTATAGTATAATTTCAAGTCAGGGATTATGACACCCCTGTCTTGCCTTTGTTGCCCAGGATTGCCTTTGCCATTCTAGGTCTCTCCTGGTTCCAAGTGTATTTTAGGAGTGTTTTCTCTAATTCTGTGAGATATGCTATTGGAATTTTGGTTGGGATTGCACTGAATCAGTGTAATCAGTTTTGGAAGTATGGCCATTTTCACTCTATTGTTTCTTCCTGCCCAAGAGTGTGGGATAGCTCTCCATTTTCTAATGTGCTCTTCAGTCTCCTTTATCGGAGCACTGTAGGGTTCAGTGTAGAGGTCTTTTACCTTCTTGTGAGATTGATGTCATTTTTTTGATGCTACTCTAAGTAAATGGTGGTGTCTCCCTGATTTCTCTCTCAGTGAGTGAGTTATTCATTGATTGATTTTATTCATTGATTGAGTTATTCATTGATTGAGTTATTCATTGATTGACAAAGTGTTGACTTTGTAACCAGTTATGTGACTGAATTTGCTTATTAAATCTAGTAGTCTTTTGGTGGAGTTTTTGGGGTCTTCTATGGAGAGTATCATCCAGTCTGCAAATAATGACAGTTTAACTTCATCTTTGCCTATCATTACTCCTTTTATTTCTTTCTCTTGTCTAATTGCTCCGGCTAAAGTTTCCAAGACTATGTTGAATATGAGTGGAGACAGTGGACATCCTTGTCTTATTCCTGCTTTTAGAAAGAAAGCTTTCAGTTTCTGTCTATTTAGTATGATGTGGCTGTTGGTTTGTCATAAATGGTTTTTATCAGATTGAGATAAAGACTATTCCAATTTTCTGTAGGGATTTTATCATGGATGGGTGATGGACTTTGTCAAAAGCTCTTTCTGCGTGTATTGAGATGATCACATGATTTTCACCGTTGGCTCTGTTGAGTGTAATATGATGTATTACATCTATGGATTTATGGATGTTGAACCATCCCTGCCTCCCTGGGATGAATCCCACTTTGCACAATCTTCCTGACGATTTGCTGCAGTCTGTTTGCCAGTATCTTACTGGGGATTTTTGCATTGATGTTTATTAGGGAAACTGGTCTGTAATGCTCTTTCTTAGTTGGGTCTTTCTCTGGTTTTGGTATCAGGGTAATGCTAGCTTCCAGGAATGAATCAGGAAGTATTGGTCCCGTTTCCATTTTATTAAAGAGTTTGAGAAGTAGTGGTATTAGGTCTTCTCTAAATTGCTTGTAGAACTCAGCAGTGAATCCGTCAGGGCCTGGGCTTTCCTTTGTTGGTAAGTTTTTAATTACATCTCTGATTTCATTTATTCATATTGGTTTATTTAGGATTTTTATGTCTTCTTGATTCAGATTTGGTAATTCATATGTATCTAGGAATCTGTCCATTTTTTCTGTATGTTCCATCTTAGTATAATACAAGTTTTCAAAGTAGGTGTAGATGATCTTCTGGATTTCTGCAGGTTCTGTTGCGCTGTCACCCTTTTCATTCCTAATTGTGTGGATTTGGCTCTTGCCTTTCGTTTTTTTTTTTTTTTTAATAAGGTTGGCTAAGGGTTTGTTGATTTTATTTAATCTTTCAAAGAACCAGCTCTTGGATTAATTGATTCTTTGTGTTTTTTTTTTAAGTCTCCAATGCATGAATTTCTGCTCTGGTCTTTATAATTTTCTCCCTCATATAAGCTTTTGGGTTAGCCTGCTCTTCTGTTTCTAGAAGTTGAGGTTCAACATTGAGTTGTTTATATGTGTTTGCTCTGTTTTCCTGATATGGGTATTTACTGCTATAAATTTCCCTCTTTTTTTTTTATAAATTTCCCTCTTAAGACTGCCTTCATTTGGGTCTCAGAAGTTCTGGTAAGTCGTGTTGTCATTATCATTCGACTGTAAAAACTGTCTAATTTCTTTGGTTGTTCAGCAGGGTGCTATTTAATTTCCATGTGTTTATGAAGTTCTTGTGGTTTCCTGTGCCATGGATTTCCAATTTCATTGCACTGCAGTCTGAGAGTATGCGTGGGATAATTTGAATTCCTTTGCATTTATTTAAGCATGTTCTTCGAGCCAGTATGTGGTCTATTTTGGAGAACGTCCCATGTGCAGCCGAGAAGAATGTGTGTTCTGATGTTGTGGAGTGGAAGTTTCTATAGTCATATACTAAGTCCATTTGCTCAAAAGTTTTGTTCAGTTCTAGTATTTCATTATTGATATTTTGTCTAATTGATCAGTCTTTTTGTGATGGTGGGGGACTGTGGCCTCCCAATACAGTTGTACTAGAGCTTATTTGATTTTTTCATGTCTGCTAGTATTTATTTTATATAGTTGAGTGCACTGGTAATTTTTCTTTTTTGGTACCAGGAATCAAACTCATGACCTCACACTTGCCAGGCAGGTGCTTGTGCCACTGAACTATATCCCTGGCCCCTCACTGGTATTTGTTGCATAAATATTTATGATTGTTATCTCTTCCTCTTGGATTGTTCCCTTTATGTGGATGTAGTGACCTTATCTCTCTTCTTCAATCTTGGATTGAAATTTACTATGTCTGTAAATAGAATAGCTACCCCTGCTCTTTTCTTGGTTCCTGTCACGTGGAATATTGTTTGGCATCCTTTGATGTTCAGCTTATGAATTTCTTCTTGAGCTAAATGTGTTTCTTGTATGCAGCACATTGTTAGATCTTGCTTCTCTATCCATTGTGCCAGTTTGCGACTTTTGACCATTAACGGTGGGTTGAGACCATTAACAATGGTGGTTATCACTGATACATATTGATTTATCCTTGGCATGTTACTTTCCTGTTGGTGGCTCGCCCGCCCCTTTTTTTATCCCTTCCTCTAATTGTTCGCCTTTCCTGGTGGGTTTCTTCTGCTTGTGGTTCATGGAGCTGTGGTCCTGTGGTCCTTATTATTTCTTTCTGGAATGTCCTTCAGAACATTTTGGAGTGCTGGCCATAAATTTCCTCAGATGTTCTTTGTCATGGAAGTATCTTATTTCTCCACCAGTTTTGAAAGATAGTTTTGCGGGGTACACCAATCTGGGTTGAGAGTTGTTTGCGTTTAGAACATGGAATATTTCAGTCCAAGCTCTACTTGACTTGAGAGTCTGTGTGCTGGAAGAGAGAGCAGGTAAAACTCTTGGGAGACACTGGGGTAGGCACAGACTTTATGAACAAAACCGCGATTGCACAGGAGCTATCACAAAGAATCAACACCTGGGATCTCACTCTATTGAACATCTTTTGCACAGCAAGAGAAACCACCAACAGAGTGAAGGGACTCAGAGTGAAGGGACGACCCACAGTGTGGGAGAAAATGCTTGCCAGCTGTTCCTCAGACAAAGGATTACTATCCAGGCCATATAAAG